ATAACCCTCACAGCTTCCTTTGATCAAACACTTGCTGGGGCGCCTGGGTGGCTCAGTCGGTTGAGCGCCTGACTTCGGCTCAGGTCATGATCTCACGGTTCGTGAGCTTGAGCCCTGCGTGGGGCTCTCTGCTATCCACGCAGTGCCCACTTCAGATCCTCTCTTCCCCTCTCTCTCTGCCCCTCCCAGCTTGTGCTCTCTCAAAAATAAAGAAAACATTAAAAAAACAAACAAAAAAACCACTTGCTGGATGCTTGCCATAGAGGATCTTATTTCATGTTCACAAACCCTGAGGGATGCATTATTAGCCCCATTTTGCAGGTGAGGAGCCTGAGGCTTGGGGGGGGGGGCGGTAAAGGGGGAAGTGAACTGGCTTGCTTGTGATTATTCACCCAAAAGTGTCAGAACCAGGACTCAAACAGGCGTTACCATGCTGACGGCCTTGGCCCAGGCTCAGAGAGTAAATCAGAGATGATGTTAACCACAGCTGAGCTTTTTTGGAACTATCAATGGCCCAGAAAAAGGGCCCCACTTGGTGGTTGCGGGAGGCAGGGTAGGGGCTGTGAGGGCTGGAACTGAGTGGCTGGGATAGGCTGGCATCACGTGACTAAGACTCACAGACACTCACTGCAGGTAGGAGCAGCTAGACACGGATACGTAGGAGCTCGACGAATGACTGTCTGCTTTGTGCTGCTTCCTTGAAGGAGTCTGTTCTGTGCTTGCTCCCGTGGGGCTACGGAGGCGGCATGGCAGCCCCCTTCCCTTGGGCCCCAGAAACCCACTCACTCCTTCCCCTGCTCCTCCGGGGAGGGAGTTGCCCACCTGGAGTCTGGCCCCGTGGGCCCGGCACGGTGGCAGGTGATGAGAGTCGTGTGGTGCTTGGAGGCCTTGAAGCGGTCCAGCTTGGCAGTCCACAGGCTGGGCTGGGCGGGGCGGGCAGCCGTCACGTGCAGCCCCTTCTTCACCTTGATCCTGGGGAGAGGACGCAGGCCCAGTGTGTCGCGGCGGGTGCCAGACTATGGACCGAACGAGGAGCAACTCAAGGGGCTCCAGGCACCGGCCTCCTGTCTGGCCTCCCTGACTCCCGTCGGAACCTCCTGCTCACCATCCTCCCATCCACAAGGACCCCATCTCGATGCGCGTCATGCCACACAGCTCTCCCCAGCACCCCAAGACCCGCTGCCCCCAGCGTCAAGTCTAATCCCGGCATCGAGGCCCTCCAGGATCTGCTCTGTTTTCGTCTTGGCCTGTAACATCTCTGTCACCCTGCCCCAGCTGCACCGAAAGTTCTTCAGCCCATTTATGCCTGAGTCTTTGCTCAGGCGGTGCGTTCAGCCTTCTGCCTCTGCTCGTTCTTCAAGCCTCCAGCAACTCGAATAGTTTCCTTTAGGAAGCTCTTCCAGGAGCAGGATGGATTTCTCCCTTGCTCCGCCCCTAATGTAGGCCCCCACCGCGTCTTGTGCCTCCACCAGAGCATATCCCCCAGCGCATGCCGTACAGCTCTCTTCCCTACCCGTTGGTCCCCTTAGTGCCAGGTGGGGACCGGGCCTTGCTACTCTCTGTAGCTCCAGAGTGGAGACACAGGGCTTGCATATTTTTTAAGTGTCTACGAAAGATCTAACGAGTGTGCAAGTGAGCACAGGACAGTGTGACAGACGGGGACGGGACAGGCACTTGGGAGACGCACAGGGACAGGACACACACAAACCCAAATATGAGAGAGAGGCACGTCATACTCTGCAAATCCTCATCAGTGGAATTGGGGTGGGGGGGCTACTTTGGGGAACTTCCTGTAGAAGGGGACACAAAAAGGAGAGCCTTTCTGTGGGGGAGGAGCAGGCTCTGTCCAAAGGTGAGGGGCAGGCAGGAGAACATGCAGATGAATGTGACTGGGGCAAACATCCCATTAGAGCATTAACCACCCCCAGGCACCGCACTTTCCAGTTTCTAAGTTGTCTCCTGTTTTTCCTCCCTAAAGCCCTCACAGCTGCCCTGTGAAGAAGGCAACGTCAGCCCCACTGGACAAGGAGTCTCAAGGAGGTGACAGGGGAAGGGGAGCTTCCTATTCTGACTCTAAGTCCAGGGCTGTGCCCGCTGCTGGGTCCTGCCTGCTGCCAGGACAATCACGCCTCTTGGCCTGGAGGGGTTTTGGTGGGCTCGTGTTTGCAGAGATCAAGGGTTCCAGTAAGGACCCCAGAAGGAGAAGGCACCTGCCCTGTCTTCCTGCAGAGGCCCCTGCCTCCAGCCCACCCCAGGAGCCCCGTTCTCACCGCAGGGTCAGGACACTGGCTGTGAAGTTGTGCCGGAGCAGGAGGGTGGCACTGAAGAGCTGGCCGGGCCGCACGGGCACGTCGGGCACCCGCAGAGTCACCGCCTCATCCAGGGGCACCTCCTGGTACCGCGGGGGGTCCGCGGGGCGCAGCTCCACGCTGCCCACCGGAAGAGCCTGCTCCCTGGCGTCCTCCTCCCCGCCGGGGCCACAGCCCCCAGAGCCCTCAGCTGCGGGCTCCAGCGTGTAGGCCAGCTCGGCCCGCGTGCTGGAGCCCTGGGAGAACCAGTGGGAGGGAAACTCCAGCTCCACCACGCAGGCGCCTAGGGATGGCTGCAAACACACAACAGCCAACGGTTGGCATGGCGGGGGCGGGGGGGGGGGTGGCGAGTCCCAGCATCCACGATAGGAGATGCACAGCTGGAGGGGTCCTCCTGCTGCAGGACCAGCAGCGGCCACAGTGACACAGCCAACCAGTCACGTGACTGGGGCCGTCTCGGAACTCATCCAAGAGCCACGCTTCTGCCTGTGGGAACAGCCTCATTCCAAAGTGAGCCAATCCCAATGCCTCCCCCCTAATTACGCCCTGGGACCACCCTGACTACACCCCAGCCTTCTAAGAATCCCAAAGCCCTCAAAATACCTCTTTCCAGTGGATCCCTGTGCTAGACCCCCAAAACAGTGGAAGTTGCCATTATAAAAGTGATATTAACAACAGTGTGAACGCTTGCTGGGTGATCACGCTGTGCCAGGCGATGGCGCTGGGCTAAAAGCTATTCTTGCGTTCATTTCATTCATTCTTTATTCCAGCTCCACACGAGGTAGGCATCGTTATTACTCCATTTTATAGATGGGGAAGCTGAGTCCCAAGAAAATTAAGTTACATGCCCAAAGGCACCACCAACGGACTGACTTCCTTAAGGGTCCCTAAACCACCCTCTCAAAGGGTCCCCATGAAAGCTAGCGGAGCAGGAAGGGAGTCAGGTGGTCTGTGACTCCCACACCAGCCGGGGGTGGTAAGCCCTCTCTTCCCTACCCCAGGGCCGTCCTCTGGTCGGCACAGCAGGCCGGGCCAGCTTAGGCAGGGCCCGCCCACTCACCTGGAAGTGGCAGGCTCGGTGAGCAGTGCCTGCAGAGTGAATGGCGTGGAGCCGGGCACAGGGCAGGCTGCCAGGCCCCGGTGGCCAATCCTGCCCTTTGAGGTGGAAGAGGACGCGGGCGTGGGGCTCTGCTGGGGTCACAGCTGCTTCCACTGACACAGCCCGCACATCCCACGGCACTGGCCGTTGGTGGGGCTCAGTGACCCGTGGAGGGACCACCTGGAGGGAGAATAAGGGTGTTCGACAAAGCAGGGGGTTGAGGGAAGCAAGATCTGGAAAGATGGGATGCCAGGCCTCCAGCCCCAGCTTGGCAGGAGAGGGCATTTGCAGGCCTCTGGATGATGGGGAGCACAGCTGGGGCTGGGGGGACTCCGGAGCCACATACAGCAGCCCTCAGCTCTGAATCCTTTTAGCCGGGGAGTCCCTGGTGCCGTCTCCTTACCTGCTGCGTCGCAAAGGGCGGGTAGGAGGCCCGGAGAAGTGGCTGGGCCCTGGGCCATGGCTGCAGGAGCAGGAAGGTCTCAGATCTGGAGCCCAGAGAGGAGTTGGCAGGTGGATAGCGGCCCACCTGCTGCACCCGGAAGTGCTCAGGGGCATCAAGGAGCTCTAGGGCCGCAGGCAGGTAGACAGGATCCAAGGGGTCCTGTTCACAGTCCACTGAGGAAGAAGGGATAGGGATGGTGACAGCTCCAGAGCTGGCAGGGCTGAACTGAGCTCCGTTCTGGGGCACAGTTGTCCCATTTCACAGATGAGGAAACTGGGGCTCAAAGAGCCTCACACAGGTAGCACGTGACAGGGCCAGGATTTGAAGGTATATCCCAGACAGGATGCCAGCTTCCAAACCATTCCTCCTTCTACCTTCCATAGACTCAGACCTTCCTCCCTTGAGCAGAACCTTCTCAGCATTTCGTCCTCATTCCTGCCCCCTTACCTACTTGCCTCTGATATCGAGGCATCTGTAGGGTACAGTTCTCCCTAGACAGGGCCTGTGCAGTAAAAGGTGGCGACAAGGTGGGCTTTGTAGAAGCAGAGATGCTGTCTGTCCCTGAGTCCTTGGCCAGACTTGTCTGGGCATCCACCCAGCCTTCCCCTCCATCATCACCATGGCAACCCTGCAAGGGTTGCCTCTGTACCCAGTACTGGGTACTGGAGTGCAGAAGTGGGATTGGGGGGGGGGGGGCATGAGCCTGGGGAGAGAGTCAAAATATTCAATGACTAGAGGGGCAAAGGACCCCGGAGACCATATTGGGTTTGTACCGACTATTAGCCCCAATAAGAATAAATGTTTTTGAACACTAACTACGTGCAGACTACTATTTAAAACGTTTTACATATATTAACTCTTCAGTGTGTGTACTAACTCTGAGACCCAAGCCCTGTCACTATTATTTCCACGTTACGGGTGTGGAAGATGAGGCTGAGGTCGAGGGACTTGCCTTGGGGTCACCAGGCTGGAGACAGGTGTTGCCGGGAGTCAGAGCTCAGGCATTACACCCAGAGGGATACCTCACCTCGGCTCCCTGTGCTGCTTGCAAGGGTGACAACTGCCGGCTGCGCTCCCTGGACTGTGGGTCTCTCCCTCCTCCCTTAGGGTCCGGGGTGAATGTTGCCTCCTCCTTTAAGGAAGCCCTTCTTGATTGCGGGACCTCTCACCAGTACCCTCAGTCTTTCCCCGGCTAGTCGCCTCATCTGAAGTAGTTGTCTTCCTGTCTATTCACAGGGGGACTTGTTCTGCTCATTCCAGAATCCCCCCAAGTTGGGCAGCTCTCCCTGGAGATGATGCTCTGGGAGCCTGGAGGACTGCGTGTACATCTTAATTCTGACTCCGTGGAGCTTGGGTCCATCATTTAACATCTCAGAGCCTGAGTTTCCTCACCTGTAGAATGAGCATTTAGTGACACCGTGAAGAGGGGAGGGCTTTGTAAAGTGCGGAGTGCTGACTGGGGGGAGAGGGGTTATTGCTACTGAATAATGGATGTGACAAGGCCTTCCTCATCTCTTAGAAGGGGTTATTAGGGCTCCTGCTGGGTCCCCTGGGGAGGGGAGCAGGTGGCTGAAAGCAGCCCCGGAGCCAGCTTCCCAGCTTCCTCGGAGCCAGCTTCCTCGGTGCCCCATCCTGGGCTTGAAAGATGGTTTCAACCTCTCTCAAGACCCTCCCCACCAAGGAGCGTGTGTCTGAGAGGCTCCAGCCGTCCTGCCCCCAAGTGTAACAGGTAAGTGACTAGGGCTTCCCGGGGGGCAGCCCCTGACCTCCGGTCCTCCTATTTCACTGCCAGGATAATTATAAGATGCTATGTGGCCTGCCTCCCACGGACTTCCAGCACCCAGAGCTCAGCTCTCACGGGGAGGGTGAGGGGGGTAGAGGATGCCTCACTATCCCTCCCCCACCCCCACTCTTCTGTGGTGTCATCCACCTAGCAGCCACAGCCCTGCCAAGGGCAGTCTGACCCCCCCCACCCCCCC